TCTTCTTCTTTTTTGTTTATGTCTATCTATATAACATAAGCAAGATAAACAATCCTGAGGAGAAAACAATGGGACTCACAGTTCTGGGGGGACAGGAAGAAGAGGGAAGTTGGGGTAAAAGGAGGGGGTAACTAACAAACACAGAGACAAGGGAACAACAAGAGATCTAAAGTCAATGGCAAGGAGCGTGTAAAATGCCTGGTGGAGTTTGATCAAGTGCAATGTAGTCAAGAGGAATTACTGAGAGCCAAATGAAGGTTGATCATGATAGTGGGAAAGGAGGAAAGTGAAAGGAAATAGAGGAAAGAACTAGGAGGCAAAAGACATTTATAGAAGTCTAAGTATAGGAATGCATATATATATATTAATAAATAGCAATAGGGATATAGGTCTATCTACATATATTTATACGCTAAGTATCAAGGTAGCAGAAGGACATTGGGCCTCTAATCAAGTCCTTCCTCAGTTGCAAGAACACTTTGTTTTAATAGCCTGGCATTCTGTGATGCTCACCTTCCTGACATGATTGCTGAAGTCAAAATGGGCGCATAAGCAAATGTAGTGAAGAAAGCTGATGGTGTCCGGCTATTAAAAGATGTAGCATCTGCGGTCTCAAAGGCTTGAAATTAAACAAGTGGCCATCTAGCAGGGAAGCAACAAAGCCCACATGGAAGAAGCACATCAGCCTGTGTGCTCACAAGATGTTGACAGGATCAGGTATCAGGCATCAGAAGACACAAAACAAACAATCATGTCGATGGGAATGAGGTGGGTTGAAGTGGAGACCCAAAGACCATGTGTAGACAATTGGACATCTCCTCACAGAAGAGTCATAAGGAAGGGATGAGCCAGCCAGGGTGCAGTACAGCACCGATGAAACACACAACCTTCCTCTAGTTCTTTAATGCTTCCTTCTCCCCACTATCTTGACCCCTGTTCCACCTTACAAATCCGGGTAGCCTGGAGCATATACACTGGTGCAGATAAGAGCTCTTGACACACAGAATCCAGGACAGATAAACCCCTCAGGAACAATAATGGAAGTAGGGGAGAAAGGGTGAACTGAGCACAATGATTGCTGTATGACTTCTCCCCCAACCCCTAGGGGAACGAACAACAGAAATGTGGGTGAAGGGAGACAGCAGATGGTGTAAGATATGAAAATAATAATGATTTATAATTTATCAAGGGTTCATGAGGGTGGGAGAGGGAACAAAAAAAAGAGGAGCTGATACCAAGGGCTCAAGTAGAAAGAAAATGTTTAGAAAATAATTATGGCAACATACAGTGTGTACAAAGTGCTCGATATAGTTGATGCTTGTATTGTTATAAGAGGTGTAAGAGTCCCCAATAAAATATAAAAGTGAAAACTGAATTTTGGGTTATTGGAGATATGGACTTTCGTGCCACCTATTTCAAGAAGAATAAATAAAATATATCCCATATCTCTTCTTTATACCACCATGAAACTTTCTAAGAGCTAGGGGATTTTTTTATGCCCAATTTATATGGGGATAAGCCTCCCTCAAGGAGTCCTAGTTAAGTATTGGGATTCCATCTGCTGAGTCAGCAGTTCAAACCCATCAGCTACTCTTCGGGAGAAAGAAGAGGCTGTCTCCCCCTATAAAGATTTACCATCTCAGGAACCCTAAGGAGTGGTTCTACTCTGCCATCTAGGGTCGATATGACTCAGAATCAACTTGGCCAACAAACCAACCCCACTGTCATTGAGGTGATGCAGATTCATAGAGACCTCATAGGCTCCATGTCCATGTATGGCTAACAGCCATCTGAAGATAAGGCAATCATCAAGAGAAACATAGAGGAAGAATATTAATTCATAGAACACGCATTCTTGATGATGTGAAAATGACCTTTTGTAATATTATGTCACAGTTGAAAGGGGCTTACTAACCATGTTAGTATGTATTATATCATTTAAGTCTTATGACAAACTCATGCAGTCTCGTGAGGTGGGTACTAACATCACACCCATGTAGCAGATAAGGAAATTAAGAGATTTAGTTATTTTCCCTTCACATAGAGTTTTAAGCCAGGCTTTTTATTTGTTTATTTGATTATTTAACTTGTACTTTTAGCCATTCCCCTTCTAACTTTTGTCAAAGTTGACCTTAAAATTGATTTTCAATTTCTAGGTGTTCATTTTTCCCCCCTCTTTAGGATTAAACACAATTTAGAAATTTAATCACTTTTTCTGTTGCCACCTCGTTTCCAGTTACTTCATGTCATTGATAATTTCCTTCAAACTTACTTGGACATTGAGAGTGGTACCCGTAATGCTGGTGGTGTTGATGGAGAACTGTGCCAAACCATGCTCATCAGTGGTAGCGTTGGAGTGGTGGTTAGCTTCATCTGCATGTATGAAGATTAGTTTATTGGCCATGGGGACACCTTTCCCATCTACTAGGCGTACCTGAAGATGAAAAGCAGCGGATTGGTTATATGGATAATAATCTTTTTACCACAAACATTGCTGAGTGCTTTCTATGGGTCAGACACCGTTTCAGGCACTGTGGTTACAGCAGGGTGAAAAACAAAATCGCTATCATCATACATTACAGACTAGTGAAAGACACAGATGGTAAATGATTAATATCTAATGCACATCGATATACACCAATACAGTAGTTGTAATAGATATCTATCTATCTAGATATAGCTATTTATTAGTAATTAATCCTAAAAAGAAAATAAATCACTGCAAAGGGGTAGAGAGTGATGAGGATGATAATAAGGGTTACCTGACAAGGTCTTCTCTGGATATTTTGAAAATGCTGTGTCATTTTCGTTTATAACCCTTGGATAGCCACAGATCATGAGGGTCATGTTAGTAATGACAACTTTTTAATGCATTAATTTATTTGAGCTGCAAGCATAATTATTTTGTGACACACCATTAACTTTTTATGAGTTAGTGTTCTGAATTATTAAAAAAATGCACAAGTGAGCCATAGCCAATGCTTTCTCCGATGAGCATCTCTAGCCACTGTATATATGAAAACGGCTAAGGAACAGCACAGTAGAACTGAAAAGACACAAAACCTTCCACAAGAGAGGCAGAGAAAAAGAGTCTTCCCTTTAGAGCTGGCACCCTGACTGTGAGAAAATTAATTTGCTTGCTAAATTTGCTTGGTAATGCTAACCATAAACCCACTTATGGTTTCCGTTATAGAAGCCCTAGATTATTAGACTAGATAGTTTGTGTTGGAAGGTTAATGTAGATGACCACCATGACTTTTTTTTTCTCACAGGAAAGTATGATAAACACCGAGACTGCCTGGTAAATCATGAAAAGGAGATTGAGTGACATCACAAAACTCTGTTTCAAAAATAAAAACAAGACAAAGTCTTTCAATTTTGATTGAAATTTAGAACGGTTTTCTAGATTTCATGACAAATTTACCGAGGCACGGACTTATTTTTTGTGTGGTTTTAAAACTTCGGTTGTATTAATCAACAGCATTAATCAGGTATGTTTTCAGCAGAACACATGTTAAGCTATGTTAAGCAGATGAGGCCCTAGAACACAGTTGGATAGGCGAAAGGCAAAATACTTTACTTGTCCAGAAAAGGGGATGCCTTGCCGAAAGTTCGAATCCACTTTCACAAATGAGAGTTTGGTTATGGTTCTTGTAATTTCACTGGACCCAGTCCCAGTTAATTCCAGCTCTAAAAAAGAAAAAAAGAAAGAGGGGTAAAAAAACCCCAAATGTTCTTTTTTGGGCAATATGGTCCTCCTCTATGACCCACTCTCTTTCAATACCTACTTTGGCAAAGAAAAAAAAAATCCAGTGGCTATAGTTCTGCTATACGGATGTGCTATACAAACCTGTTCCTTCTTCTTTGATCTTGGCCTCCACTTGAAGTTTCATTTCATACCCTTGCCTCTTCAATTGGAAGATTTTAGCATTTACTTGTCTAGAAAAGCAGCCATGGCTGTTTAGCTGGAAAGGAAAATATTTCCAAAAAATCATACTTATGATAATGAATATACAATAGTGGTATATACATATTTAAGAACTTTAAAAAATGTCCGTTTGCAAGGAATCAACTCCAACTCATAGTGAGCACCTGCGTATCAGAGCGGAGCTGCAGTTCAAAGCTGTCCAGCGCCTGATTTTAAAGAAGTATCTACTTTAAGAAGTCAGGGCTTTCTTTTTTTTTTTTTTTTAGTCAGGGCTTTCTTGTAAGACACCCCTGGGTGACTTGAACCTTCAAACTTCTGGTAAGTAGTCAGGCTTGTTAATACTTTGCACCACTTAGGAACTTCCAGAGAACATGATGTAGAGATTTTCTGTGATGAGAACATAATAAATAGTCACTAGGGACTAATTATGATCTCATCTCAGAACAACATCTGGCTTATAACTGTACTCCTTAATATCTCAAGTTCCCTAAAATGAATGCGATAAGAGGTCCATTGAAAATATTTGGATAAGTTTGCTGTAGCAGACAGCTAACTCTTCACCATGCCCTGGGCCCCCTTCCCACACTATATACCTATGCCTGTGAAGTGGTTGCACACCCCCAAACTGCTTTCTCAGTCTTTGACATCTAGGTGGGGACAAGTGACATGTTCTTGTCATAGAGGGAGCGCAGCACCGCTCCCCTCCAAAGAAAGGTGGTTGAGAGTTGTATGTTTCTTCTCCTTCCTTCATAGAAGTGGACCCCCAAGGAGTCTTTGAGCGTAAGTATTGGAAATAGCTGAATTTTCACCATTTTGGGTGCTTGACTGACCAAGAACAACCACACTGGACAGTGATAAGTAGCAAGGAATTACGATTGTTCTGAGTCATTGATTAAAAAATAAAAATCACAACAGGTAGCAGAGAATTTTCTTTCAGTTTATTCTCTAAGTTCCATTTTGCAACTCACTGCTTAGCAACAATTCTTCTAGTGTGAACCCTAAAACGAAGCCTTCTATCCTTCACTTACCTGCCCACTGAATTTCTCACAGAGTGCCTGCGACTCTTCCCCGTAGCAGTGAGAGGGGCTACCATATGATCTGCACGTGCTCACAGTGACACGTCCAGGGACGGGCTTTCCATAGGTATATCTGTCATGAAAACGTTGCCAAATGAACCAAAGCAAACATTGAACATCCTCATTTTCTACTTATGTATATTTTCCATGTACCAAAAGTATATTCACGCTCTCATTTCTGCACCATTGAGGGCTCCCTGTTTGAGGGCATAGTGAAATGAGTAAATATCTCCTCCTTACAGAACTCTCCAGTGTACTGTGCTGGAAGGTACTACATTATCCTTTTTAATTTTTCTTTTTTTTTTTACGGTTTATAATTTTGTTTGTTTTTGTAAAAATTATATCTCTAGAAAATCATGTACTGAGTTAAAATGGATCATTTTAAAGCTCTTGACTTTAGTGATACAGCTGGGCTGTCGGGGCTGATGAAAGAATCAGATCTTGGATATATGGATTTTCAAGGTTGGAAGAGATCATACTGAGAGAGAATCTTCAGTCTCCCCAATAAAAATGGCAGAGTAGAGAGGGATGTGACATGCCTGAGGTAAATATTTGAGTAGATGAGATTTGGGTTATATGCTAATTTCTACAAATCCAGAATGCAAGTTCTGTTTCCATTATACATGATAGGCCAAGAATCGAGTATAAGCCAACCCAAATATCAGCCAAGGCACCTAATTTTACCACAACAACTATATAAAAAATGTGCTGAAAAACTCAGCTTATACACCAGTACATATGGGTAAATGATTTATTTTATTGCTTCTGATTGAATTTCCTATACAACCATGCGTTCATTATCTCCTTAATATTTGACTATTATTTTGGTGAAGGGGGTCACTACCCTCCAATATGAGCCGTTGTTGTGTATGCAGCTAACTTTGTCACTTTCAGAAGTAATCCTGCAAACAGATCTTTTCTAGGAACAGTTCTCCAACCCATGATAGCAACGGTAGTAAGAGCATAAGAGAAAATAAGAAGGAAGACTAGGAAGGCAACAGAAGAAGGGAATTCTAGAGGTGGGGTGCTCCCAAGTGTTTAAGGTATTTGTACCATCATGAGTCCCAGAGGAACTAGCTAAAATATCCCAACTGGTGAATTTCTTTATTGAATTCTCCCCCAAAGATTTAAATAAAACAACAACAACATAACATGAAAAACAATCAACTTACAGGCCACATACTGATATATTCAGCTCTTCTTCCAAGATAGTGATTACCTTTGGCATTTTTACTTGTACTTCAAACTTGGGAAGGACTGTAGATGAGAGAAAGGATTTTGTGATTGGTTTTTAACTTTGGGGAAGTTAATATTTTCAGGCTGTCTGTAACAATTCCCGGATGCTATTTTAGGGCTCTGAAAATGCAGCTCTACTTCTCAATGTATCAATCTTTACTTAATGGAGATCCTGGTTGAAGGACTGTGAATGGTCACAGTAACCTGAAGAATTATGGAAGGCACATGAAAACAAGGAGGTTTACATTTTTGAGATTAAATATTGTTATGAACATTAACAAACCTCTATGCCGCTGGATATTTCACAATACATCAATGACCCTTATTGGGGGTATATATAACTGAGTAAGCTCCAAACGCATTCTTTCCCAAGGGAAAGGGGAGGACTTCTTCGAATTGCGCTCACGTTCTAGAGCCAACAAGTTGAAATACAAAGAAACCATGCTGCCCAACTGGCCATAATCCGTACCGAATTCCTCCACGGTGAAGTGGTGCTCTACCCTTTTGCCTGATTCCTTCTGTGCCACCAGTTTGTAGGAGCCTTGGAAGGGCTCTGAGGAGAGGGAGTAGGACAACTCCTTGAGGCCGGTCTCTAACTTGACATTCTGCCATTGGGTGATGCGATTTTCTTTAGGGTCCTATAGATAAATTAATTGTAACTTATAAATGGCTTGTAAGCATTCGAGATGATGAAAGGAATGAATGAAACTCTTGGTATTCAGACAGAGAACAGATGGGATAGTGTGGGTACTGGGAGAAGGAAAAGAATTAGAATCATTCAGCCTTATTGTGAGACTTTGAAGAGTTCTCCTTAATGAAATTTCTGGGATATGAAAGGAACATCTCAATAACAGCATTAAAATTTTTTTTTTGTTTTAAAAATTAAAAAAAATCTTTATGTCCTCATTAATTTATTTATATTAATTGGGATTGATACATATATCAAATAATTCCATAGTTCAACCACATTTAACCATGCAGAATTGTGCATTGACTACCACAATCAGTTTCCAAACATTCTTTTTCTTTATGGACCCCTTCACCCTGCCACCACCTCTGTACCCCTCTCTCCCTAAACCCCTTATTCTACTTGCTGACTCTATGGGTTCATGAGTCCGGGTGTTCATACACCAAAAAATGAAAAAACAATGACTGCAACTTCAAGAGGGTGACCCCGATGACATAACACTCCAGAGATACCCCATAATGTGTACAATCCAACACCAAACAAAACAATACAACCTGCAAAACAAAAGATTTCGGATACCAGACCAGGCCCAAAATGCGTGATAGGGGGAATCTTTTGCAAGCTTTAACTGTTCAAGTCAGGCCTTTGACCTTTGACCTTCTACGCTCAACTCACCAAATGCACTCTGTTTAGTGACCTCTTCCTTCTATCCCTCGATTATGGACAGAGGGAATGGAGAAGCATTGTCTTAAAGGTATTGCTTTCTCTTTAACTATGGAAAACTTCATGTTGCTTACCTGAAGGTATACTAGTGGAATCTGAAAGACAAAGGGGAAATAAAAGAATTTAGAATTGTTCTAACTTATAAGCAAATCAGCTTCAACGTAGAATAAATCTATTTGTAGTAAAACGCAGAAAAATAAGGCTAAATTTCTCAGAATTTTTAATTAGTCCATATTGAACAATTAATAAATAATATTAAGAACTTAGTAGGCCATCTGCGACAGATACATATGTGTACTGCCGTTCCTTAGGAATGAAGTGTACTAACATGATGTAAGTCCTTACAGCATTCCATGGAAGAGCATTCCTCCTTAGGCACTTTTACAAATTAAGAGATAAACATTAACTGAACTATCAGTGACATGGTCAGATCTAATTATTAATATGGATAACAATTCTTCAACCATTCTAGGAATAAGGAGTGATGGGAATAGCTCTTCTGTCAATACTTATTCACTTTGAAAAACAAATATGTATAAAGTGTTGAGCATGCATGGTTATATACTGGGAATACTGGAAATATAGTTATACACAAAAGAACAAAATATCTGCCCTCATGGAGCTTATGTTTTAGAGGAACCCTAGTGGCATAGTGGTTACCCAGTGGGCTACTCACTGCATCGGCTCTGCGAGAGAGGGAGAAGGCTTTCTACTCCTATAAAAAGTTACGATCTCGGAAACTCACAAGGGCAGGTCTGCCTTTACGTATAGAATCTATAGAGTCTCTATGAGCTGGAATCAGCTTGATGGCAGAGATAGTGGGACAGAGAAGAAGAGGGAAAAGCCATCTCAATGTCCATGTCTTTATAGTTGGAGTCCCGGAGTGGTGCAAATAGCTAAACACCTGTCTGCTAACCAAAAGGTGGCAATTCAAGTGTACCCAGAGGCATCTCAGAAAGAAGACACGGTGATCTAGTTCCCCCCAATCAGCCACTGAAAACCCCATGGGGCATAACTCTACTGGGACATACACGGGGAGACTATGAGTTGGAATGCACTCTATGGCAATCAGCTATCTATCTCTATCTATCTTTAGCCATCTCTGGTGTGTTAAATGTTATGAAGAAAAGTAAAGGCAGGGAAGTCAGTAGAGTGTTAGGTGAGGTATTTGATTTTAGATAGAGAAATGAAAATATAAGCTGAGGGAGCAGTTTCAAGGTTATTGCAACAGTCTCGTTTAGACATGATGCTGACTACGATCAGTGGTAGTCTGCATATATAGCTTTCTAGCCAGCACATTTTTTTCCTAATGAAATGGATGTGGGTGTGAAGAAGCAAGAATTACTCCATGATACTTTACCTTAGGAACTACAAGCAAAGAATTTCCTCATGTTGGGTTAAGAAAACATGGTGATAAAGCAGCTTTGGGAGGGAAAAGTAAGATGTATATTGAATGTCTACATAGAAAGAGTTATTTATTATCATAATAGACATGAGGATCAAACATTGATTATCCACATCTCACTTCATAATAGAGTTTTGATGGCTGTGCTTAGAAATTGTCTAAATCTTTGAGAAGTTATTCAAACAAAAGTGCTTTAGCTGGCTTGTTATTGAATAGATTGCTAATTGCCTTCAAGCTGATTTTGACTCTCTGTGACCCCAGGTGACAGAGTAGAACGGACTCCACAGGGTTTTCACGGCTGTACTTTTCGACAGAAGCAGAGTGTGAGGATTTCTCCATGAATCCACTAGGTTGGATTGAATTTCTTTCCTCTTGGTTAGCAGTCAAGTGTTTGTCAGTGGTTCTCAACCTTCCCAATACCGCAACCCTTTCACACAGTTCCGCTTGTTGTGGTGACCCCCTGACCATAAAATTATTTTCATCGCTACTTCATCACTGTCATTTTGCTACTGTTGCGGATCAGGCAACCATTGTGAAAGGGTCATTTGATCTGCAAAGGGGTCGCGACCCACAGGTTGAGAACCACTGGTTTAAGCCTTGGGTCACCAGCACTCCAGGGATATGTACTGCTAATTTGCCTCTTTGAAAACTACCTAAAGTTGTTTAAACTTGTGACAACTGACTGACAGCATTAAGGTAGAAAAGATAGAAAAGTAATTCCTTTGTAGATCCTGGATAACCTTTTACATGAGAATCTTACACTCTCCTAATCCCAGAAATGACTGTCGGTGATGCCAGATTTTTTCTGGCCCTGTTCTATAGAATAAGAAAACCAATAATAGGCTCCCAGTTTATACAGATGTTTATACAGATAATATGATTTTTGGGGTGGATAATATGAGACTCACCAACTCATTCAGCGGGTGGAAACTTTCATCCAATGAGACCACGCGAAAATTCACTAAAACAGAAATATTTCCCATGAGCACCAGAAAACCTACACCAGGCCCATGGCCCAGTGAGACAAGATATTAAGACATTGGAATTGTAGGAACTTTGGCTGGGGAGTAGGCAGGGAAAGAATAGTTTTTGATTCCCAACTGTAGGCCCCTTCCTACCTGTCTGTCCTGGTTTGTAGATGGGTTTGTCTGTCTGCATAAATACCAAACTGTCTTCATTTTTAACAGCCACTCTGGTCCTCTTTTTGAACTCATGGGTTGGTCCTTTTATTTGGACAGAGAGAAACATTATCTCTTCATTGGCTGTAGATTTGGGGATCTGAAATGTGAGAAATAGCCTGAGAAACCAGTCAGTCTTCTCCCCCGATTCCTATTCCACTTCTCTCTGCAGCTCCTACCCTTTTCATTTAACTTCTCTCCTTCTTCCTGCCAGTTAAAGTCAACAGGGATAGGAATGGATTTTGTCATTTTACAACCCAAGACGGAGGAAAGTGCATCCGTAAGAAAAGGCACAAATGAGACTCACATCTCCAGATAGCTCAACCGATACAGGAGTGATTCCCTTTTACACTGAAACCTTCCAAGTCAATGTGACCTACCAAAAAGGGCAAGGCAGACATCGGTCTTAAGACTATGAGAAAGAAAATGAGAATATTTTATTGAAGGTAGGCTATCTGCACACCACACGGGCAATGCTGAAGCACTTCTGGACATTTGCTCTGGGTAATTCCTACCATTTTCAGTAGAACGTACTTAGAAAGCACATAAGGAGGCTAGCCCCTTAATTGCTATACTTCTTCTTATTGCCTCCTGTAAGGTACGTTTCCTTTTTCTTTTTGAAATGACCTCTGTCGTTTCAAAAAACAGTAGTGATTTCCTATTAAAAGAGTGAACTCCAAGGGTCTGAGTCACCTCCAGGGTCTGCAGACTCTTCAAGGGTCTGCTCCACCTCTCTGGGAAAAAGCACCAATCAGATGAAAGGGTGGGAACATGGGGGACAATCAAAATCCAATGGCGGTGGCTGGTAGATTTTCAGGGGAGTACAATTTTCAGTGTTGCCGCAATTACTAAAGAGGGTAGCAAATAAACCACAAGCGATCCCTCCAGTTCTCAACCTGATTTCCATTCACGAATATAACTGGTTTCTACTCTGAGTAAGTGACCTCTCAGGCTCACGTTGCCTAAGGGGGCAGGGTGCTGCTCTGGCTCACTCAGCTCTCTGGGACCAGGGTGGAGATTCTATAGAAAGGGGGCACCCCAGCTGTAGTAGAGAAGGATCTTATTCACAATCTGAACTTGTGACCTGATGAAATTTATTTTCAACACCTGTACAAAGCTCTGAGCTATATTAGATTTGCCCTGAAAGATTACATCTGACTACTCCCCCTCTCTATTACCCTTAGAGGTGGTGAGTTTTTAGGAACCCACCACTGGTGGCTCCTGCTGACCTTGGGCTGAATTTGCTTTATTCATGATCTTTTCGTTTGACCTTTAAATCACATTCTTTCCTTGCTTAGCACATGCTTTCTGTTGGTTTTGTTGGGAACAGCATTTTTTTCTTTGAGTATTAAGTTGATTTTTGGGGGTGGCTGTTACAATCTTTTATTTCGTTTTGTAATATATTGGGGAGAGAACAGTTAATGAAGGCGATATCAAAGAAAATTTCGTCTGCTAAAGATTTGTGATATGTACTTTTAGGCGACGGTTGTTTTTCATGCTGCGTATGAAATGGTGACTGTTGTAAAACTGTTGAGAAGGAAACTCAAGACTTTTATTTTGAAGTATTTCTTCCCTAATGCATCCACATTTAGAAAACATCATTTCTGGACTGTTTTAAGTCACGTACATAAAATTCTTTTTTTTTTTTTCTTTTAACATTTTATTAGGGGCTCATACAACTGTTATCCCAATCCATACACACATCAATTGTGTAAAGCGCATTTGTACATCGTTTCTCAAAACATTTTCTCTCCATTCAAACCCCCGACATTAGGTCCTCATTTTTCCCCTCCCTCCCCGCTCCCCCCTCCCGCATGAGCCCTTGATAGTTTATAAATGGGTATTTTGTCATATCTTGCCCTGTCCGACGTCTCCCTTCATCCACTTTTTGGTTGTCTGTCCCCCAGGGAGGAGGTCACACATAGTTCCATGTAATCGGTTCCCTCTTCCCTACCCATTCTCCCTTTACCCTCCCTGTTTTGCCACTCACACCACTGGTCCTATAGGGCTCCTCCGTCCTGGATTCCCTGTATTTTCAGTTCCTATCTGTACCAGTGTACCTCCCCTGGTCCAGCCAGTCTTGCAAGATAGAATTCGAGTCATGATAGTGGGAGCAGGGACGAAACATTTAGGAACTAGAGGAAGGTTGTATTTCTCATCATTGTTACATCGCACCGTGACTAGCTCATCTCCTCCCCTAGACCCCTCTGCAAGGGGATCTCCAGTGGCCTACTAATGGGCTTTGGATCTCCACTCCGCACTCCCCCCATCATTCACTATGGTAAGATTTTTTGTTCTGATGATGCCTTACACCTGATCCCTTCGACACCTCGTGGTTGGATAGGCTGGTGTGCTTCTTCCATGTGGGCTTTGTTGCTTCTGAGCTTGATGGCCGCTTGATTACCTTCAAGCCTTTAAGACCCCAGACACTATACTTTTTGATAGCCGGGCACCATCAGCTTTCTTCACCACATTTGCTTATGCACCCATTTGTCTTCAGTGATCCGTTCGTAAGTCACGTACGTAAAATTCTATACAACTTTCTCTACATGTGTGCAGGCTCAGAGTGAATTTGATTTTTAATATGCCTATAAATGCTTCTTTTCCCAGGGTTGGAAAGCCACGCACTGCTCCTTTTTGCTATACTTCTTTCAATATTGAGATTCCTTCCTGATATCCTTAGCCTCTCAAAGCCTCTCCTTGTCTGAACCCTAGATCCTCAACAGAACAGAGCGCACTAAGTCAAACAGTGGTACTCACAGTGAAGGAGATACAGTGGAACAGGTCTTTCTCTACCGTGAGGTCAGTGAAGAGGCTCCTGTTTCCCCTGACCGACTCCAAGGAAGCGCTGACAGTCACCGTCTCATTCAGGTGCTTCAAAAGGAGACAGCCCTTCTCTGGAGTCTCAGTGTGGAGCAGGGAGGGAACCAGCACCATATACTGCCTGAGAAGGTAAGGGGAGACAGAGTTCAGTTAGGAAAGACATTATTATCAACAGAACTGATTTTCCTAACAGTTATCATTACCATTAGTTTTGCATCCAGGTGAATATGAAATTAATCTCTTTTATTGATTGATTTTTTTCCTTTCAGTCAGTAGTGCACTGCAGTGAGCATTTCCATGATAGGAACTTTAAAAATATCTCAAAAAGCATTTAATACCTCACTTCATGGAACCCCAGTAGTTAAGCATTTAAACTCAAATTTACAAGTCAATTCTGTTTAAATAACTTTTAAAATTGATTTAAAAAAATTTTTACTGGGGGCTTTTATAGAAATGATCACAATCCATAAATCAATTATATCAAGCGCATTTGTACATATGCTGCCACCATCATTTTCAAAACATGTTCTTTCTACTTGAATCCTTGGTATCAGTGCCTATTTTCCCCTCCTTCCCCCACCCTCATGACCCCTTGATAAATTATAAATTATTATTATTTTCATATCTCACACTGATCGTTGTCTCCCTTCACCCACGTTTCTGTTTTTCATCCCCCTAGGAGTGTGTGTGTGTCTGTGTGTGTGTGTGTGTTATACATCCATCATCGCTAACGGTTCCCTCCCTCCCTCTCTCCATACCCTTGTATTGCTGTTCGTATTACTGTTTCTGAGGGGTTTATCTGTCCTGGCTTCTGTGTGTTGAAAGCTCTGATCATTACCTATGTACATATTCTGGTCTAGCAGGATTTGTAAGGTAAAACTGGCGTCATGATAGTGGTGGGGAGGAAGCATTAAAGAACCAAGGAATGTTGTGTGTTTTGTTGGTGCTAAACTGCACCCTGGCTAAATCATCCCTTCTGTGTGACCCTTCTGTGAGGGGCCAATTGGCCACAGACAGGCTTTGGGGCTCCACTCTGACTGTCTCCTTCACATTGATCTATTTGTTTGTTTTTGGTCTTCTGATACCTGATCCCATCAACACCATGTGATCACACAGGCTGGTGTGCTTCCTCCATATGGGCTTTGTTGCTTCCTTGCTAGATTTAACTTCAAGCCTTTAAGACCCCAGTTGATATATCTTTTAATAGCTGGGCACCATCAGCTTGTTGTTCCCTTGTCCCTGAGTTTGCTGGCTCCACACTCCCTTTCCCCTGCCTCCTCCTCTCCCGTGTCCCACAGGAACCGTCAGTCCCATTGCTTTCTCCTCGGAATTGTTTATCCTGATAGATATATTTATTTCCAGTTCTTTCTGCTGGCTTTTACGAATGTCTTCCAACCAGGTCTAACGAGGTGTCAAGTACTGCCCCGAGTCGGAAGTTTACTTATCAGGATGCCTCGGAGACTTTGTGACTTTGCTTCCCTTGATGCTCTGCTGTGCTCCCATCATGATTTGCCCTGCAGTGTGTGTGTGTGTGTGTGGTGGTGGGGGTGTGTGAAAATGGATTTTATGATAGGACTGTTCCAAAATTAAAGGCTTCAGGTGTGCAGGAACTACACAATCAATAAATCCATAGACTTTCATTATATATATATACATACATATATATAGACAGATAGATAGATGATATACACGGGGGATTAAAAAATTTGTGGAAAATCCCCATTATCTTTCACTTTTCTTTTCCTTTTCCAAAGCACCTTCATGTTTCTTGATGTATATGGAAGCAAACGTGTTCATAAAATGTCTATAATATATACATGAGATAGAACCAGCAACCTTGTGAAAACGATATGGCAAGCATTTTCTTCCGCAGGAATTTGATGCTCAAAGAGAGGGAGTTCTTTGTTTGTAGTTTAAAGTCTAATGGTGACACATACCTAAGCATATCTTAGAGAGTTACCTAACCATGGATGTTTGCGTTTAAATATTTGCCTTTTAGCTCATCGCTAGACCCTGGCTTCAGCCCAGAAAGGTCCTTTAGTGAATGAGATTTGGCTCTTAAGAACTCGTGAACACAGCAGGACCTCTCTTAGTACCCTCACATAGAGCATAAGCATGTTCCTGTATTTTAAAACATTCTTGCTCACATATCCTAAAATATTTTTTTTGGCACTGCACGTTCCTTTCGTATTTTCAAGTAAACATCCATTTTGTAACCACAAGTTTCAAACATAGCAAAAGGTATTCTTTCTCATGACGTTTAAATGAAAACTTCTATTACTATTTTATAAGATTCTCATAGAGTCTTAAGTACCATAATGTTAATATACTTGATAGAATCGATTTTTTTAAATGTCTAAAAGTATTTTTTTTAATGCTTAGAAATATAACAACTTTCCTTTTGTTTTTTTCCCCTGGTGCCTGAATTTCCATGCTACCAACCACACAGAAATTTATCTTAAGACTTTTATGCTTCAAACTATTTTATGAATATTTACTTTTGCATCTAATTATACATATGTTTATATGCATATACACACAGTGCACACACGTATGTAACATTATACAAATTAAATGTTAAGCCTTCTTTTAAAGAGAATGTGACCATAGTGTTTTCTTTAAAATCATTTTATTGGGGGCTCATAAAAGTCTTATCACAATCCATACATCCATCCATTGTGTCAAGCACAT